TCACATGTTGTGTGTTTGAAAATATTTCATCTATGTTCAGTAAAATGTGTGAAAAACTGGTGAGGAGAATTTACTGTGCAAGATTTTTGGTACCACTTTACAATCAAGCTCCTCTTATAGATGACTTATAAAGAGTTTATCGATAGGTTATTAATTCATTTGTAAAGTTTACACTTCATAAATCATTAACAGATGAAACTGGACAATTTTGTCTCTTTCTCGTCCTTAATTATTGCATAATAAACACATATTAATCATTTTTAAAGTGTTTACAGATTAATTAATAACCTATCTATAAACTCTTTAAAAGTCATCTATAAGGGGAGCCATATTGTAAAGTGGTATCTTTTTAAAAAATAATTACATTACATTACAAGTGTTTGAAGTGTAAAATGTATACACTGGGTATTTATGTGAAAGGGTGTTGAACCAAGACTTGGCACCTCTATGAATATTGTGGCTCCTTGATGGCCCCTTACTCAGAAAAATCCTAGATTCGCCACTGAAAAGGGTTCAACATTGAAAATCTGCGTCTAAAATGTGAAACAATTATTGGTTCTCAAAAGAAAATTAGGAAAACTTTAAATATCACATTATCTACAATTTATAGCATAATCATAAAATATAGTGTCCACAATTTTTGGTCAAAGCTCTATCATGCAATAAGGAATCCATATTTGAACATCATCCAGAAACGCTGCCGTTCCTCTCAAAACCAAAGCTCATTTAAAATGGACTGTGGTCAATTGAATTCCAATTTAAAATGTCCTTCTGAAAACCATGGATGTCATGTCCTCTGTACTAAAGAGGAGAGGGAACATCCAGCCTGCAGCCTGTAATCAGTCTACAGTTCTAAAGTCTGACTCTCTGATGTTATGGAGGTGCATTAGTGCCTCTGTGGGCCACTTATGCATCTGGGAAGATGCCATCAATGCAGTAAAGTATATACAGGTTTTAGAGCACATGTGTTAAACACAAGGCCCATGTGACTGTGGCCCTGGCTTTAAGTAGCTGAGCAATTTAGTTGGATACAGTATTAATGTTTGAAAATAAGCTGTTTTAAAGTCAGTATCAACCATAAGCTAAATCTGCCTTTACTTTTAATAATATTTCTGTATTTATTTCAGATTTAGTCAGTCATACACTTAGTTCTTATCAGTGTCTAAAAGAGGACGTGTTAAAACACTGTTTAGTCTAAGTTAAACATGAACCGTCAAAGTTTCATCATAAGCGGCCCTTCGAGGGCCACCATAACCCTTATGTGGCCCTCAGTGAAAATGAGTTTGATACCCCTGTAGAGCATCTGATTTCATCCAGTTTAAAAGGAGCCAGAACTGCAGCTTTTTCTTGCCCCTGGAAGAACGTTTTACAGAAGTCTTGCTCTCATTAAATTTAAAATTACCATTCTTTTTAAAGAGTTATTTCTTAGTTTTGTGATTTTCAAATGCTCCACTCTGAATCAAATATGGGTTTAAGAGAGTCGACCATTCAGTTTTTACTTAAATTTTGCACAATTTTCTCATAATTGTTGTTATGAAAAACATCACATGGATAGACTTCAGGATTTGTTTAGAGTGTAAATATTAGTAAACCTGAGCAATGAGCAGGTTTCTCCCCATATGAGTGTTTGGAAAGATGACAATCTCACTATTCAGCAGAGTGAGTCGTGACTTCTTGAGCAGCATCATAGTAAAATAACCCTCCTCGCCACCTGTTAACATTACGACACAGAGCATCAGTCAAAGGGACAGTGTTTGAAATGCTGTTCTTGGGTCAGGATACCTTTAATGAAAGTGTATGTGTCTGCCAGACGTCTGTGCATGAAGCGCATGTAGGGTTGGACTATTTCCTGAAGAAGCACCACATCAGCAGAGTATCTGTGAGAAAATATGACAGTGTGGATAATTTAACACAGGTGTCAAAAGTATTCACATTCATTACTTAAGTGGAAGTATAGATACTAGAGTTTAAAAATAATTTTTTGGAAGTGGAAGTATCAACTCGAGCTTTTTACTCAAGTACTGGTTTTAAAACTACTTAAAGTATAAAAGTAAAAGTAATGAACACTATAAAAAAGGCCATTAAAGATAAAATCTTTGGCTGTGCCACAGCGTTCATAGC